CATATAAGGATATAAATCTTCAGTGCTAGCGCAAAGGCTAACAGGCTAAGCTGAGGTTCTTCTTCCATGAAGCAGCTCTGTTGTCCTCCTTCTATATTTTCAGTTACAGGCTGAGTCATTTCTACCTTCTCCTCTCTGTCAACGCTCTCTGGTTTCATTTAAAAGAGTCGATCGTCAGATATTGTCCAGGATTAACCTTCAGGGTGGATATAGCTCGCTAGCAGCCTCGCACCGATGACCTAGTTGATGTCATCGTTTACCCAGAATGCTTTGCGTTTTACAGTTAAAATAAATGTTTATCAAATAAAGTCTAATGTTACAACAAATCAGGGATCCCTTTAAATGCCTGTAATTTAATTCCTAACTGTTTTTATTAGATCATTTGAAAGCTAAAATATAAAATCGTAATTAACAGATGAAGTTGCGTGAATGAGAGTAATCTTAATTTTTGTTTTCCAGTTTAAAATCCCATTTTTACTAAATATGGAGTTCTATATAGCTTTAAAAGTGTGTTTGTGTTTCATGGTGAGTGTTTGTCTCTGTGATTGTTTTAGGTGGGCTGTGGAGATGGCAGCATCCGGCTGCATGCAGTCAGCCAGGATCGGCCTGTAGCAGAGTGGAGGACCTCCACAGCTGGAGAACCTGTGGTCTCCCTGCAGTGGGCWCACACCAGGCCGACTGTGTTCTGCGTGCTCGACGCCGCTTCAAACCTTTACATATGGGACCTGTTGAAAAGCGATGCTCAGCCTGTGGTAACTGAGAAACTCCATGCTGACAGGTAACACCAAACAGACCCAGTTATCAAGTGTGTAATTCATGTGGGTTTTTTCAAAATGTTTCTATAACAGTTGTGTTTTTTTTTTTTTTTTTCAGGGTGACAGCTGTGTCTGTGTTCGGAGACTCGGGACAACAAAACACATATTCTGGAGTAGCCCTGGCTCAAGAGTCAGGAAAACTAGAATTGCATTATTTCACAAGACATTTTTCTGTCTCCAGCTCAGCAGAAGTAGGGATGCTGGAGGATTTATTGACTGAAGCCTTTTGAACACTACATTTTGTATGAYTGAATATACTCTGGTGATAATTGTGTCACTGCAACAGTTTTATTGTATTTTTACACTCTGGCAAAACAAAACCCAGTTTTTTAGCCGTCACTTTGTATTCTCTGTTATAATTAAAGAAGATATTTTTTGTTTGTTTATTCTTTCTTAAATAATATTCTCACATGTGGCAAGAAAATTACCATTATTAAAATGTAAAATTATTACAAACCAAAGATCTTCTGCAATGTTACATACATTTATTGCACTATGGGTATGCACTTTTCATTAAAATATAGATGAAATGTTTTCGTTTTTGAAACATTTTTTGTAAGGGAAAAATAAACTGAGYATGTCTGATGAACAGGTCATTRAAGAAATTCTTATAGACATTTTTAAGGACAGTATGCATAACCACAACTACAGCCAAGACAGTRTAAATACTGAGGTAACAGTATGGAATACTTTTACCACATAAAAAAGAAAATAGATACCAAATTTATTTATAAACGTGTTTGTGTATTTCTATGACTTTACCAACTAGTCTGTCATGCTCAAACTTAATCTACACACAAAATCTATACCTTTAAATATGAATCATAAAGAAAAAAAATACTGTTTTTTCTTTCTTTTAAGTTTATAAGTTAAAAAAATCAATCATTGGGTTTGGAGACAGCTTCACCTGATCTTTGACTGTGATAGAAATGCTTATTGGTGTGAGATTTGTCTAAACAAAGTGCCAGTTTAACCAAGATATATTAATAAAAAACAAAACATTAAAACCTTTCTATACATTTCTTCATCTGAATTTTTATGAACAGATGTGAAATATTTTACATTTTTATCTTATTTAACTTTGAAGAGAAAATGTTTTGCCATAGGGAACAGGAAACAAAAATCACCAAACACTGGTAAACGCCAGGAAACTAGAAAACCTTTAAACCTCTTGCTTCAAGTGTAACAATTTTGCTTACTGAACATCATAGGTGACGGGTAAGTGATTATTTTTTTATTTTATTTTTTTTACTTTCTAGTCTTTATTTTACAAATTTCCTTTTATGTACAATGACGTGCTAGGGTCACCAAAAAAAGCTCTTGGTGTGGCTCATAGGCTTTCATAAAAGTGTTTAGTGTTTAAAAAATGTCATCTGTAAATCTATATTTTTCCACTTAACACAGCCCCGAAGTGACTCCCACTTAAGATTTAACTCTTTTAAAGGCAATTTTATGATTGGTTGACAGTTGAATAAATGGTTTATGGGGGCCATGTTGCATTGTCACTTTTTGTTTTTCAGATCAATGGGTTGTGTCTTGTGAGCACTCATGATGACAGCAGTTGCTTCAGATAAGACGAGCACATCAGTGCTGTTTCCCAGTCCTGCTCTGGGGCTGCTGTCTCACCACGCCACAATGTCAAATGAGAGGAGGATTCAAGTGGAAGAAGATGAGCAGCAGCCTCAAGAAAAGGTAGTGATCCTTGAAGCTGATCAGATGTAGGTTTTGTCATTTTAGGGCCTAGTGCAAAGCACAGACACACGCTGGGGGGTCTGTTTTCTTTCTCATTTTAACCCATTTTTATGTTGGACCTTTTTATTGTTCAGAGGTGTCAAAAGTATTTATTACTTCACTAGCAGTATAGATAAAGTTTAAAAATACATTTTCAGCTCAGTTTTTGGCAGTASAAGTATCAAAAATGTAAGGAGGAGAAGTAAAAAGTCAGCTGAAAAATGTGTACTCTAATAAAATATAAATAACCAAAATTTATACTTACTGTAAGTAAAGTAACAACATTCTTGCACTTAGTTACTTGACACCTCTGATATTATTCATTGTTGGATGGAATTCTTGATTTGTAGTTGCAGTTAAAATTTAAAAGCTCATGTTTTAAGTATATTAAAGGCCTTTACTTTAGGCACAAGATAAGTTTGAYGGTACTGTATGTCCGTTCTTTGGGCCTGACTGATACAAAGATCACTGTGCCTGGCCGTCTGGTGGGCTGGGGCCCCGGTCCCGTCTGTACACTTCTRGATGGCGAGCTACGCATTGGGAAAGCTGCTGCTGATGCCTTGGACATACACGTGTAAGCCTGCAGAACACTCTTGGGACCTGGTGACTGCAGGCGTGGGGTACGTGTGTGTGTGTGGTCAGTGTTGCTCTTGGTGAAGGTGAAGATTCAGGATGGGTTGCAGGAGCACGGCACCACTGCTCACCTCACACTGGCTCCTCCACGACCCGACAGACCTCACAGAGCCTTTGTTGCGACCGACRTGGTTGTTACTGTAGTTGACCTTGATGACGGGAGGGTTTTGGAGCACAGGAACAAACTTTGTTYAAGGTGTGTATTGGCACATAATACAAATACTGTTGGAGTTTGTTAAAGTCATAGAAATATTGTTCAAGTATGCAAAACAAAAATAGGTGTAAAATTATTTTAAACATGTTATGAATCAACACATGTACAATATACTGTATGTCTGTGTATTACCTGATGCATCTCAGTAATCCAGGTTGAAAAAAAAATCAAAAAGAAAAAATAAATAGGTCCTCTGGATGGGTTCTTCTTTGGTGAAACATTTCGTCTCTCCTCCAAGAGACTTCTTCAGTCTTCAGAAAGACCCTAAACCCAGACCCAAACCTGTTGTCATTCCATATATGGTGGGAGTTTCAGAGAAACTGAGACGTTTATTCTCTAAACATGACGTCCAAGTGGCTTTCAAACCCCAAAACATGTTGCGACAAAGATTCACCCCAAAGATCCAGTTCCCCAGCAAAAACAGAGTGATTCTGTATAGTATATGCTGTTAAGTGTCAGGAGGACTGTGATCAATTATACATCGGGGAAACAAAACAACCACTGTTCAAAGGAATGAGCCAGCACAGACTAGTGTACATCGTCGGGTCAGGACTCTGCAGTTTACACTCATCTACAGGCCAGCGGTCACTCTTTCARGGATGAAGATGTTCTCATCCTTGATAGAGAGGAACATTGGTTTGAGAGAGGAGTAAAGGAAGYCATCTTCGTGAAAAAAAAGTCCACCATTAAACAGAGATGGAGGCCAGCGTGTCCAGTTGTCCTCCTCCAACAAGGCTGTTATTATAAGTATGACTCAGCCCCCTGTGAGCAAAAGGTATGAATCAGGGTTCCAATGATACCAAGACAAAGAGGGAAAGAGACAAAAACAAGGGGAAGTTAAAAAAAAGCCCGCTTGCACTCACTACATACACATAACACGGCACGGGTCAGGTGATGGGGCACATGACCCTCWATGAACAATAGAGCTAATCAAGCCTATTGTTAGTCGATGGCCCTATTTTGCATGTGACTAACCTGTTTGTCCAGGTGGAGGCAGGGCTTATAAGGCTGAGTTCACCTGAAACTCATCAGACTGAAGAAGTCTCATGGAGGAGAGACGAAACGTTTCACTCAAGAACCCATCCAGAGGACCTACTTATTTTTCTTTTTGATATATCTGTATATTTTACACTTTATAAAAGTGAAATTTATGGTCGTACTGAATTTGATGGTGAAAGGTTGCTAAGGTACACCTTATAAACCGATGATGGACGTTTTAGACTTTGACCACCTTTTTTTTAAATTGCAGTAACATTACTGCGATGGAATACTGCTGTCAAGTGGACTGTTTGAACATCRCTTCCCAAGGCCTGTCCATAAAAGTGTGGGGGCCAGACTGGGCTCTGCRTGACTTTTATAAGTCATGATGGTATCTGTTCATATCGGAGCAGTACTGACTTCTTTCAAGTCAAAGGACAGGATTTTGTGTGCTGATTACTGCATGTACATAGAGATTATGTTGGCTGTAACTGAGGCAGGTACAGTGCTTCAGGTCAACACACTCACTAATCCAATGACTTTGATGCAAGAATGKAAAGGCAGAGGACTGGGAACGAACACTCCCAGGTGTATCAGTGTTGAGACAGCACTACTTCATTATGCAGCAGTCTTTGGTTGAGTACTACAGACCACGCCCCAAAAAACTAGCCTGTCAATACCACCACAATTAACTCTGAAACCATCTAACCAATAAATGACAATGCTTTATGTCTGATTTATCCTGTGTATTTCAGAATATAAGAGCATTTCGTTGGTAGACATAGCACCAATTTATTTGCATGATGCTGGTGAGTGCAGAAAATGTATTTATAAAGATTTCAAAACAGGCACTCAAACAATACAGCACAAAGATGAGTAAAATAGTAAATCAAATACCTGGTATAAAATTTAAAATATATATCTATAGCTATATAATGCGGGTGCATTCAATTTCCACTACAAAAGATTAAAAAGTGGTATTCACAAGTAACAAAATGGTCCTGACAGAYTGGAAAAAGTTATTAAACAATTGTCACATTTTAATTCACAAGTCCTTATTTGGTACAGTTGCATTGACAAAGTCAAACAAGACAAGATAATGCATTAACCTAGTAGCTCTGATTGGACAGCAACTTATCACTGATCAGCCATTTGTGTGTGYACAAATTAACTGTCAATTTTATACAAATTACAATTTAATTATTGCTGCCACGTGTTGATTTGGTGGACAAGTAGGTTTGTGCAATGCCACCCACGTAATTACATCCTGTTAGTTCAACCTTAAAACTAACATTTTGACGGTTTGTAGAGGTATGAGCTATTTTTCACGTGCTTTTCATTTGATTGTCAAGGCTTTTGTGAAATGCTCTGTTGTGTCGACGAATGACCTGAAACGGACCCCTGACCTCTGTTCTACTCTAGTAAATCTTTATCGTAATTGAGCAAGTCACAGGTCAGGAAGAGGTCAGAACGTCCACTTTCTTTGAGCAATCTGTTCAGCTGGCTGCTGGTCATGTTTATATCAGTGGCTTCATCCAGAGGCCAGTCCAACAGCTGAGCACTGGAGGGCAGATCTGGGAGCCCCGGCTGGTAGTCCTCCAGCGGGTTGGGGTGGAGTAAATGTCGGAGGGAGTGCATTCTCACTGCTGTTCGCACCAGATCCTTAAGTCCTGCCATGGAGAGTGGGTTCAAGGCTAAAGCTAAGCTCTTGAGGGCCCAGCAACCTCCGAGTGAGGGCAGTAAGAGACCCAGAAGAGCATCAGTCAGGCCACAGCCACTAAGAGAAAGATGCTGCAGGCTGCTGGAAGCCTGAGAGAGGAGCCGTCGAATCGAGGGCAGGGTGTTTTCATCCAGACGGTTTCCACTTAGATCCAGCTGCTGCAGTGTGAYGGCGTGATGGCTGCACGACAGATAGGCCAGGTCAGCGGGACTCAGGCTCAAATATGGCAGCTCCAGGATCTCTAAAGGCTGAGGCAGTGAGCTGGAACAAAACCAAGAAAACCTTTAAGAACAACTCTACTAAAAAAAACTGTAAGATATGTACACACTAAATGCTTACTGTACACTAAGCTAGCAACAATAAAACAATTCAGTTTTTTTTTAATTAGATAAACTTGTCATTTTGCTTTTAGGTTTGCTAACTAGTCTTGATTTTCTGCAATGTAACATAATTACTTGATGCTAAATGTCAAAATTTAAATAATACGGTATTTAAATGGGATAGTTCTGTTTTTCAGTCAACAGCGAAATAACATTGTAGTAAACCTCCCCAATACAGATRCTGGTAATGGGYCTGATACCAACATTTTTWAAATTAAGTACTCATTCAAAATGATCCAATACCCAGAACTGATACTATTTCTTTTGCATGGACATTCAAATAAATGCAACTTCCATTAGACTCCAGTAGGAAGGTTTTATTCCATCAATCTGACTCGCCTGCGTAGAAGACGACGTGACGTTACATTCAGGACACTGTTTACAAACGTAAACAAGTCTATCTGTGGATGCTACATATCAGCTCTGAAGTTGTGCAACCAGAGGTGATTAAATAATCATCTGACATGCTTGTTTAGTTCAATACATTTGAACCATCCTCTGGTCTGCGTGTATTTATGGAATGAGGGCAACGTGCTGAAAATATAACTAACTAAAGTGGYGGTTGTATGGTCTATTCTCTTCACATTTTAATCATTTTAACATTCATGTRGTTTCTGYCTGGTTAAGACAYGATTTCAGTAAAAGAACACTATTTTTCTCACAAAAGTGTTGATCCTTTAACTTTAGTATCGATACGATCCGATTCCAATATTAYTAGCATACGTTCCTGTGGATTTTTAATCATCCAGGACACAATAAATAATCAAAGACAAAGCAACTGGACTTCTGTTAGTAGCTGAAGACATGTGGCAGTAGAATATTTTAACAGCATGTCTCGAGGTTGGTATTGTTATTACTTGGATCGATCCATGTACCTCATCTCACAGACGTAGACATGAAATAAAAATAAATGTGTTTTTATAATCATTGTGCAATGTTTATGATCTAACTCAGTAAGTACTTGGTAACGGTGCTCAGTATTAGCAAGTGCCCAAATGGAAGTACTTGTACTCGATTTTGGAAAACTGATATCGGGACACCCTAACTGGAAATTGTTGCTTTATATTTCCATACGTCTAACATGAAGAACACTGAGGAAAACCTTGACGTTGTGCTATTTCTCAGGCTCACAGAAAATGTTTGCTATTAGCACTGATACATAGGTTAGCAGGTAATACCTGAGCAACACTCTCAGCTGTCCAGGCAGCCGCAGAGCAGTGAGGCTGAGCCGCCTCAGTTCTTTGAGCTGTGCCAGCCCCTGGGACAGGTTCCTCAGCAACTCCTCCTGGCCAAAGCAGTCTCTACGAATGTCCAGGTTACAGTAATGCAGGCGAAGGGAATTCAGTTCAGGGAAGGTGGAGAGAAGAGGCAGCAGCTCTGCCAAGCCAGCCACCCCGAGGCTGCTGTAGCGAACGTCGACGCCCACGAGACCCCTAGAAGGCAGCAGGTTCAGTAGGGTTCTGATACTCGCCACTGAAATCTCTTCCACCCGCAGGTATCTGCAATGCAGCTTCAAGGGCCCTGGTGTGCCAAGAGCCACGCGAACACGCTCCCACGATCGGGCGTTAACAAAAAGATCAGCTCTGACATGAACCAGCACATCCCACTTCGCCTCCTCTTCTTCTAGTTCACTTTTACTTCCTTCTGTCGCTGCAGTCTCTCTTTTCCTTTCCATCTCCATCCTCCTTCTGACACCTACAGTTGTCTCTTCTTCTCTTACAAGACATGTTGATGCAGTCTTTTCTCTGTTACTGCACATACCATCACCACTGAGTTCTTTCCCTGCCTTTCTATTCCCTCTTTCTTTTTTCAAATCCCTTTCTCTTTCTAGCGCTGAGAACCGTTTCCTCTCTCTGTCTCCTTCTTTCCTCTGGTTCCTCAGCGCTCCAGCTCTGGCCTGAACAACCATGGTACAGAGGGCAACAGTCAGAGACCAGCCTCCCATTGGGTCCCCCGTTCCTCCCTCGTCTCCCTGCAGTCCACAGATGTCCAGCACTTGCAGAGCAGACCTAGAAAAAGTGTAAACAATACTGAAATCACAAATCATGATTGAGGATTTCAAAATAAAAGCTTTCACTTAAGGATTAGAAAATAGGCGTTTCTATTACGTGCATTATTTTTACAACATTCACTTGAGATGTAACAAAGTTAGCGGCGCAATTTCTCACCTTTGGTCCAACAGTCCTTTGACAACTGAAAGCAGCATAGCCTGAATACAGAGCCGATTTGGCGCCGCTTGTCCCGGTTTCCTCCGGCCTCCTACGCGGAGGGTCCGTTCAGGCCACCGCTGCACCAGCTCACCCACCGCCAGCGGTCTGCAGCAGGCGAAGGCGGCCTCCAGCAGCGCTCCGTACAGCTCCCGGGGTACACACCTCAACCAGCTGGGGGACGAGCTGTGGTCCCTTACCACCTCTCCGGCACACAGTCTCACCAAGGTAAGCACCATTTTAGGGGGAAAAAATGTAGGAACTACTCTTTAAGCTAGCGGCTCCGCTGAAGTAACAAGATCCGTCTCTAACTTTCAGCCAGGAGCTGGATACTCCCGTAAAGCATCAAAAATAATTTTATAGCATCATTTCATATCTGCCATCCTGAATAAAAATAAAAAATAACTTGTACTGAGCTGACTGAGGAGCATGAAGCTCAGGTTAGCTAAGCTAACCCTATAGTTGCAGGAATGTTTACGTTTGTTTGTTTTTTCCTTACGCAACGTCTTRACGTAAGCACGCACATACGTCTGATTGTGGCCTTTTGGGAGTTCAGTGAGGATTATGTGCGTCACTTTAGGTTTTTTTAGCCTTTGTTCTTTTCAAAAGATACTTTTGAATCGAATCGAATCCACAGCACTGACTACCACCCAATTTACAAATTTGTTTATAGCTACAATGAAAACTCTTTAATTAGTTCAAATCCCACTTTCGCTTTAAAATCTGCTACATACTTACATTTCATTGTCTTTTTACATGTCTATTTAGTTTTTAACTAGACTTTGCTGCCTTTACCTCAGTCTTTTTTCTACTTTTAGCTTTTAGCTTGTGTTTTGCTGCTTTAAGTTTTTAGCTAAGTTTAGCTTTGATTTAATGTTTTGCTTCTATTACCTTTTAGTGTTTGCCCCCCCCCCCCCTTTTTTTTTTTTTTTGTTTTATTTGAGAATTTTTTGGTGTTTTTATGTAGCAAATAATAATCGCCACTAGATGGTGCTAAAAGATCATTTGGGAGGCTGTTGCCCCCCAAATGCACATCTTATACCAGTACCATCTACAGCTTTAAACCATTAATACATTTTTTTTTATCATAGTGGTTTTCATTAAGCATAAATAAAGAAAACTGGCTTCAATAGATTTACTTTGATCTTTTTCTTAAGCTGTTGAACAAATGTTAAACAGGGCGCAGCCACTAACAACTTTCATTACACCAGTCACTGCACACATTAAAACAAAACCAATTCATCTTAGTATGCCATTAATGCATAAATGACTGGATGCTAATGCCTTGTTATTTTGTTTGTTATAATTTTGCCACAGCTTAGTGGGTATTTTGACAAATTTTCCATCAGGAGCTGCCACCATGAACATGATCTTATTTGTTGTGAAATAAACCCCACACGTGTCCCACAGCTTCAGTAAGTTAGGATCAGAACATCAATGTAGTATATACTTTCTTTGCTTTAGAAAAAAGAGAGAAAACTTTTCTAACCTTATAGAAGAGTACAAAGAATGCACATTTCCATTTGAATGTTCCATCAACCTTGGATTATGTATCACTCTGCGTTCTGCCTCCATCTGCTCAGTGTTTCACTTCATTATCAGACTTTTGTGGTGCTGACTGAACACATTTTCATCCTAGCAGCGTTTGTCGCTTATCTTGTGTAATTTTAATTACAGTCAGTCAAAAACAGAGTTCTGATTCTTTGACCTCTTTTCCTTCAGCTCATGCTGCTGTTTAATTTTAAAAAATAATTTGATTTATTACATGTGTTGTTTATCCAGCAGGACAATTTTTTGTCAATGTCAGGTTAAACCTCTCTGCTAAGACATTTGGCAGTTTAATTTTCAGTTTTCAGGGACAGTTTTTTGATGATTGACAACCCTCTTATAATTTATTACCTTCGGAAAATTTTATTGTCGTAGACTACATAAAATATTGCTTTTACCTGGTATGAATGGAAATCATTCAAAAATACCATAGTTTATTAGCTACAGCAATAGTTTTATAAAGTAGTTTTCTATTTTTAGCAGCAGATTGATTACTGTTGGTGTGAAGTTTTATATTGAAAATAAAAAATATGTTATTAGCTTCCACCAATGACCATGAATAGAGCTTATATCATACATATTGCCAACTTGGCTCATAGTTGGCAACAAAAGAGGAGACTCTACGAACAAAGCTTAGCTTGCTATTTTTTAAGTGAAAAACAAAAAAATCACAATACAGAAAAATTATGAGACTGGCATGTTTCAGCAGCAGAAGAGTTGTAAAGTTGGATGCAAAACATATAATTTTTTTACACCAGAAATTTTTAAAATTCAATTTCCAGGTGTTATGAAGTCGAAACTAAATAGTAGGTTTTATGATCAATTGGAAAAGATTTAAAGGTGCTTATTTAAATGGGTAATGTGTCTCTTGGCACCGCCTACTTTGTTGGCATTTTTCAAATTTGCCTGGGAGYGGGGTTATACCTCACAGAGAGGGTTAGTTACACTTAAAATGACCAAATAAAGGTTTTCAGTTCAAAACATGACTGATTAAGTTACACTGGCATTTTCTGGATTTTCTGTGCTGAATAAGTAGCAGCATTGTGGTGGAATCCGAAACTTGTGAATAGAAGTCAGGTGTTTAATTGAATTTGATTTACTGGTCTTATTGAACCAGTTGTAAACCCTTCATTTTCCTCTCCCCCCCATCACAAAACGCAGCAGGGTCCCCCTTCTCATACTGTGCTGATTTGAAGCGGTGAGTGACACGCCTCCCACAGGTACGCTGGGAAGATTAAACCCCAGCTGTTGTGTCCATTTGTCAGTGGCAAATTACTGGAATCAGGCAGAAAGAAGATAATTGAGTTTACGCTGCCCATCAGCTCAGACTGACTTTATTCATCTTGCGATGCAGATGTTCTTCAGAGTCAAAGTGCTGCAGTTAAAGTGTCAGAGTGAAGCAGGGTTGCAGCTGGAGTGAAATGTGTCTGAGAACGGTGAAGTGAATGTTATTGATTTCACTGATCATTACCCCTCCCCCAGTGTTTGTGTTGTATAGTTTTTTTAAAGTACCACTATACATTTGATTTACTGATGTTCTGCTCGTAAATCAACCAGCAAATGACTTTTAAAGACCTGGGGGGAAAAAAGGGATGAAACAGAGCAGGTCAGTGCTGCTGTGTGAAGGTAACCACAGCTAATAAATGAAACATTAAGAGAAGGAGGCAAAATRGAGTTCAAGGACAATCAGTCTTCTTACTAACAGCGACTCATTTTAATCTCATTTTTGTTTTCGTACAAGACTGCGTGTGTGTWAAATAAATGAGTCCAAATCTGTGACAAATGATCGCAGTCATTTGTCTCACTTAAAGTGAAGCTTTGCTTTGAACTCTGTTGAAGGTGAAGAGCACGACGAGAGTTCTGAAGAACTGATGAGCTGTGACACAGAACAGGGAGGAAAGGCTTCTTGAATTTACAAGGTGAGTGAAGATGTGAGGAGTCATAGCTTTGGTTTGGATTGTCAGCTTTACAGGCAACTCGTCTTTCGTTGTGGTTTTAATTATGACATCATTTTAATATAAAATATAGCACCCACAGAATGTTGATGAACTTTTCAACATGAGTTTATATAAATGACTCTTAACTGCAAATAAAATGTTCAAAAAGTGAYACGCAAATGGAAACGAAAGCATCAAAGTAAGAAGATGTCTTAAGTTGATTTTCTTTAAAATAAATGTAGTTTTGTTTATCAGTTTATCAGAAAATTACTCACAAATTCTTAAAATTGTTTTTAAAAGGCTTTTTTATCTGCTTGCCTAATCTGTATATATTTTGGTGACAATAATGAAGAAAATGTGATATAATTGTGAGACACTCAGTAAAAAAACAGACCAGTCCAGGCAAAAAAACAGACCTTTTTTTCTCTGTATCTACTCTTCTGTTAGGCCAGTCAAAAACAAGAATATCATTGATGTTTCAAAATTATTTAAATTAGGAAAAATTGAACATTACCTAAAATCATGAAACTAATATTTTCCAGTGCTTATTTTAAATCCTATGTATATCAGAAAAAAAGTTTATTTATTAAATAATGAATTTAAAAGAGTTTATTGGATTATTTATTGTGGCTGTATGTTAGAGACTGAATCACATAAAAAAGCAAAGTGACCTTATTGCGCAACAGCCATAAACACCATTTATTGGCTTTTACAACACGCCAACAACTTTTCACATGTGTTCAGGATATCTGCCATTAGGGAGCTGCCCATCGTGGAGAAAATCACCACTGCATTACTTCCTTAAGTCAGGCAAGCAAAATGAAAACAAGGTGTTTTAGATAAAAGGAGAACTCTCTGATGGCATTACATGTGTCCGCGTGGCTGCTGTTGACCCTCACTGTGGTGGGTAACACGGTGTTCGTCACTGCCTGTTCAGACCAGGAGTTCACCTGCAGTCAGGGCTCGTGTGTGGATCAGGACCGCGTGTGTGACTTCACTGACAACTGTGGAGACGGCAGCGACGAGGAGAACTGTGAGTTCATCAATCCAAATCAAACTTAGTACTATTTACAGCTGGCTTTGTTTTACACAAAGTTAAGTTGTAGAGCTGCACTGTAAGAAAAAAATACCTTACTTTATTTATTTTTTTAAATGTCTATACTTAGAAAAGTGTTTAATAAAGTGTGCATTCTTTAAAAGATCCTTCTGTATTGCACATTTGAACATTTTTATTTTTTTTTAATTTAAGGAAAAGTCTAGGAGGAGAGATCGTGCATCTCTGTGGCTTGTTTTTAGTTAGTAGTTCAGGAGTGGTACTTGCAATTTTAGTGTCCAAAATTACCTTTAAAACCTGATAATCTTGAGTCTAAAATCTCAATTTTTGCTTTATCTGTTCCAGAAACTGTGATACTTAACATGTCTGACAAATACTTTGTGGAATACCACTTTTCATTGTTGACTATGAATTTGACATTTTAATCACATATATCAGACATCAGTCTAATATTATACAAACAGCTAAAAAAGAGGAAAAATGTTACATCTGTAGGTTTCAGCAGATTAGAGACAAAACTATTTATTTTAACGTTGACATACTACATGGTCGAATGCTTTTAAGTCACATTGGATGAGAAATCTAACAATTTAAAAAATGTATTTTGTACAGAAAGAGTAAAAGTAAAATAAACAGTTCGTTTTGTCTTGCAGGTTCTGCATATACGAGGTGTGATTTTGAGGATGGATTCTGCAGCCTCACCCAAAGTTCTGAGGCTCTCTCTGAGTGGATCAGAACGAGTGAGGCTGCAGGACTTGGACAGGACCACACCAACACCTCAGGTTGGAGCAGCAAACCCACCCAGCACGGCTAAATCAGACCGCACACAAATGACATGTTGCAAAGATTTTCTTCTTTATGCRTTTTCCTTCTCGTCCTCAGCACATTTTCTGTCTCTTCTGGCCGTCGGAGGAAAAAGAACCACTGCAGACCTGAACAGTCCAGTCTTCCTGCCCAGTTCCWCCTGCCAGGTAACAGCCCACTCTCAGCCCACCATATGGTAAAGTCAGGAYTACCCTAACACGATGTCGTTCTTATTCATCAGATGAGTTTCTACCATTATGTTGGGGCAGCACATGGAGAAATTGAGGTTCTGGTTCAGCCTCAGCCTCATTCASAGGGTCAGACCACTGGAGTTTGGAAAAGCTCCACTCAGCTGCAGACAGAAACATGGCAGCGGAGTGTAATCAGCTTCTCTGATAAACACAGTTTTCAGGTAATTTCCTATTTTAGTTTTATATAGATGTCTATTATGATAAAACTGCAAACTAAAAACATTATGAATGTCTATAATATATTCATTCAAGACATTTTACACAAAATGTGCACCATATTAAATTAATATAATGTCAAATGTAATGCTTCTTTGTATTGGACATAATATTAAATATTAAGTATTAAGTATTAAGTATTAAGTATTAGGTATTAAATATTAAATATTGAATATGATGGGTTTTTTAATCTCTTAGGTATTAAGGATGTACATAGTATATAGTTTATTGAAAGAAAGCCATCATGGCAGAAAKGAGTTGGAGTCTTGCAGAGGGAAGGTTTTGACCCAATCGGCCCCTCAAGAGACCATCTGGATCTCTTTGAAACCTGCTGTTAGTGTCCTTTAGTTCATTTCAGGGCATCTCAGAGTGTCACCTTTTATTTTTTTACCATCTGCTTTAGTGTTAGTGATGAAAAGAGGTCAGTCCTTCTGACATTCACTTTCTGCTTCATTACTGTGATCTACTTCGAATTTCATAGTTTTTGTTAGTCAGCACGATTTAGCTCTATATCACATTTAGACAACATGCCTGATCAGCTGTGATTTCCTTTCTATCCATAACTATCAGTACACAAACATGACCATATAACTATTTTTTACTTCCACAGTTTTTTAGAGGGTAATGAGAAAATGGCAAATATTTAAAAAATGGTAATTTTTACATTTTGACTGCTTCTTACAATGGGAGGAATGAAACTATTCAGAAAACCTGTATGGAAATCTGTATTTAGACAAAACAGGACAGACTGTTTGGACTAGTCATAAACACCAGGTTGTAAACGTACAGAGCTGGTGTAGATAAAGCTTTTTCATGGACTTTGATCAGTGCTTTTATGTCACTGTTCTGATGTCAGGTCTGAGAACTGAAGGTCGTATAAAGGCTTATGGAAAACAGTGAAACTAGTACCTGTAAAGATAATTTACCCTTTCTGTCTTGAAAATGCACGAGACCAAAGCAAACCTCGGTTCTCATTTTTGCTAAGGCAAAATATTTTTATATAAGCTGTGACTGATTTATTTTGTCTTTGGTCTCCACCAGGTGGTAATTCGAGGGGAACTTTCAGCCAGCAGTGACGCCTCTGAGGTCTTGGCCATTGATGATTTATCCTTTGGTCCTGGCTGCCTGGTTGTACCTGGTACTCCTACCGTTCTAACGTGTCATCACACACACACACACACAAGACGAGTTCAGACCATGACATTTTGAAATACCACCACACATAAACAGACCAAGAACTTGTTTTGAATGTCGATGGCATAACACGAGCCAGAGTGATGTTTATAACAGAATGTCTGTGTTTACTGTTCATTTTCTTGTGCTGAATATGGACCAGTCAGTTTCACGGTGTATGAATTTGTTTGTGCCTGCGTCTTGCTCCATGAGGTTGATAAAGCACGGTGTACCCGGCCCTTTGAATGGGATTGAACATGTGTTTTGGTGATGGACAGCTGCAGCCTCCAGCTGTAGCGTCTTTACAGCTGCTATAATTCATCCAGTATTGGATAACACTCTTGGTATCTGTACATAAAATGAACAGTGGCCTTCAGGTTTCTTAGGCTTTACATGGCATTTTCTGGCACAGCTAATGTCATAAATGAAAGGAGTCGAAGCTAAAACTTTTAAAGAGGACATATCCTGTAAAATCCACTATTTTGTTGTGTACTTTGAATCTCTAGGAGTGCAGAAAAGTTGAATTTAGTTTCTCTCGGTAATGTGTCAATATCTTTATATTCTGTTTGGGTTATATTTATCAACCCGTACAGTTTTCTCTATTTTCTATGACATTTACTGAACTATTACATCAGAGTATTTGTGACCAACTACAACTTCAACCCCTCTATCAAGCTAGAATGGGCCACTCTGGAAGCTGGAAGGAGGTGGGGGTGTGAAGCGCCTCATTTTGATTTAAAAACACAGCCTCAAAACGAGTTGATCTGAGACACGCCTCAGAAAAGGGGTGAAAGAGGGGCTTGTGGCGCTACAATAAGAAGGAATTCAGACCAAAGCATTGATGTTCCACTTTATACAGACCCCAACTGAATGATTTAAATGAGAAAAAGAAGAATTTTAAAGCATGACACGTCTCCTTTAATTGTTGGAATAATTTAATTAAAAAAATGCAGTCACTCAAGAAGTTTGAGGAGGCTCAGGATTAGGTTTGCTTTACTGTTTGAGTACAAGTCGCTAAAAGTATATGTGTCACTGAAACATGTAAGATGTTTTGGTCATATGGTTTATAGTGAGATTAGATTAATTTCATCCTTCCAGAAAAATGGAAATAGGATTTTCTCTATTCTTTCAGGCAGAGATGAAGATCAAAACAGCTTTATTACTCCAATTTTTAAATAACTACTGTCAGTAGGTAGCCAAAAGCTTTGTTTTTTCAAGCATGGGCTATTTTCAGTTATAACTGCAATACTTTTCGTAATTGGAATGAAGTTAATTTAAGAGATGGACTCTTAGACATATTATTGATCAGAATCTCATAACCTAATACATTACTGCACAGTTGAGTCTAATTTCCCGTAACACCACAAATGTACTCACTGCTCTCTGTGCTCATTTATAATAATCTATCCTGATTTCCTCGGAGCGCCTTTTTAATGATTAAAACTACCTGACAGGAGTCAACCTGAACATCTATAGCTCGAATTAAAGATCTCCTTCAGCTATAAGAGCCTCTTACGCCTGAATGCTGCCGTCCCATCACTCGTATTAATGTCTTGTTGTGAACGTGTGTGTTGGCAGAGAGCAGTGCTCCCCCGCCACCTCTCTGCCCCCCGTCGTGGTTTCAGTGCGGTGAAGGGGAATGTGTCGAGGAGAGCAAAGTGTGTGACTTTACGCCACATTGTTCTAGTGGAGAGGATGAAGCCAACTGCCGTGAGAACATTTYGACTTATTCACATTTTATTTCTGATAGGCCTGAGAGCTGTTGGAGATTATGTGTCTCATAAAATCGATATAAACACACTTAAGAATAGTGATTTTTTTAGGGTTATTTATTGTGCATACTCACACTTGTGTTTACATTATGCTATGTTATAATTTGGCTGAATGTAAAACCAATATTTGGTTGGCATCACAATCTAACATTAGGTTCTGAGGAAGYTTTTGTTTTAACATTCTCATTTTAAAGAGATTTGAGAGATCAGACAAGACTACATAATCCATACCAACAGTTAAAGTTTTCAGCAAAGATCTTGCACAGAGTAGCACTTAAATTGTGTGTTAAATTACTCCTAGCTGCAGCCACACYGAAAATTGACTGAGTTATAGCCTTTTTTTTATAAGGTCAGTTAGCTGTAGTGGCCATTTTAAATGGGTTGTATTCAAAAGTTTAACAGTTGTAAATGTACATATAATAATTAATTCCTGAACGTTTCATTAAAATCCATCCACTGGTTTATGAAATATTTTGCTAACATACATAGTCGATTCTAAATTTGTAGTGTAGTCCAGTAGATTTTCTATTTAAAAAGCCTTTTTTATAAATGAAAATACCAGAAGTGTTTGGTTATGTTTCATCCTTCTTCTGTTTCAGCCTCTGAGTGTAACTTTGAGAGCGGCTCATGTGGCTGGTATGAGCTCACGTTTGGTGACGGCTTTGACTGGATCAGAGGATCATCTGCGGTGGTACCTCCAGACTAYTATGGTCACCCTCCTTTACCAGACCACTCTACTAACAGCACTGAAGGTCGGGAACAAACACCAGAAATATGCCATCTTTAAATATAACCAAAATCACAAAGGTTTTTATTTTTATGTGTGTTGGTCTGTAATTTAATTTAAACACACTTAAATATTAAATGATTGTTTTATAAGGAAATTGTTTGAGTGTGCAAAAGTTCAATCACTGAAAAATGTATTAGGGCACCGCAATATGTCACACATTTTTGTAGTTTAMCTGAATGCATTTCAGTTTTTTATGGCACAGATTTAACAAGAGTCCTGTTTCTGTGTGACTCCATGCAAACACCATCTGCTGTTTTTCTTATGAATGTTGTGTGAACAACATGGTGTAAAAAAACTATTTAGAGGCTGCAGAAACACCTCACAAGCACACATTTTATGAAATGGCAGTGACAATATGCAGGTACATGAAAAAGTTCTTGTTATCCTGAAGAATGACATTTGTTCTGTTTACACAGAAAACAAAACACACTTATATCTTAAATAATGGTATTGTTTTATCACATATCACATGTCATACACACACACACACACACAAACACACACTGTGTTAGTCATCTTGTTGGTCACTAAAGCAACAAATGTTACATTCCCTTAACCCACTGCAGTGCGTGTCCTTTCAACATACACATGCTGTTTCTATGATTTTAATAGGCTCACATGTTTCTCGCCATGACACTTTGTTTACTTGAAGATACTATTCAGCATGTTTACATCACACATCAGTTTTTTATGTGAACAGCTTCAGAGGCTATTTCTCTAAAGTTTTTGTTTTTTACCTAAAATAGTCATAACTTATTGAAAAAAAAAAACCACGATTATGTGGTTTAGAAGCGACAAAAAGGCTTATTTTGAAAAAAACATAAGGCAAGCTGGTAAAGGTAATTATCCAGTTTACTGTACTATACTGTATACTGTGCTATGCACTATAAGCTGAAGGAGCTGCAGAGGGAGGGTTTCAAAAACATAAAACCAAAATGTCAAGAATCAAGCATAAAATAAAGATGAAAAATAGCAGGAGGATCTGCCCATTAACAAAAAGAAATAAAAACGTGTTTACACTGAAGGGACAGAAAATAAACAAGAGACAAATATGACTATTATAAGAATGAGCAGAAAAGCATGGCTAAAAGAAGTTGGGAGAAAAACCCAGAATACCCTCTAATAAGTCCAACAATCAATGATGATCCAAAACAACAGAACAAAACAAAGAAAAAAATGAACAAAAAGCATAAATCCACACAACTACACACACACAAATAAAACAATAAAAAGAAACAAAAACAGATCGCAGCACTCCTTAATATAAAATAATAAAAACAACATGCTCGGTTTAAAACAGATCTGAAATCGTGGATCAGGCTACCGGTGTTGTTGGCCTCTTCTCTAAAGTTCTGTTTTCATTCAGCCACTGATGTGTTGTTTATTACATCCATGTGTTTCCTGTGCTCCAGCTCATTTCAGTGACGTTACATCGCTCAGTTTATCCTCTCCAGACCAGGTAATGGACATAAAACATGAACCAAACAAGGAGCAGTGTCTCAAAGGCTTGCTTTAATTAAACCCTGCGCTTTTATGGTTAATGACACTGTTACCATCGAAACGTTAATGGACAGAATAACCAGYGGACAGAATCCCAAAGGCAGAGCAAGATAAAATTAATCTGTGTGGCAGAAACTCCAGTTTGGGAGGACGAGCGTTAATCCTTTTCTTTCTGCTCCCATACCTGTTTGAGACATCTTTTTTTTTTAATTTAAATGTGATTTACCAATTGACTGGACAAACAAATGACCTCAGAGAATACAGCAGATGCACTAATCCTCTGATTTCTTTGGCTTTAGGTCATTTCATGTTTATACTGAAGTACAGCAGCAGTCTGTATCCGAATGCCGTCCTCCTAGGGCCCTGGTTCCAGCAGTCAGCCCCTGGGTGCACCATGACCTTCTGGTGAGAAACAATRTGAACMTTTTTGTCTTTTTT